CATTGAGGTGAATAGAAGCTGACGAAGCATCCGAGGAGCTGAGGGTTGACCGTACCCAGAGGCAAAGGTTTAAATCCCTGGATATTTTAGATGAAGAGTTCATAGTGGAAAGCTGTCTGTGGGACCAATAATGGTTAGAAAGACAAAGAGGCCGCTTTGCCTTGGATGCTAAGGTTGTATGATCTTATGGGTCCAGGGACAAGTCTGTCCTCTGTGAAAAGCTACATAGAATCGCATGCACAACCGACCACCCTCATAAAAGGCTATGTGCCGAGCTGACATTCATGTTTTATGTGGGTAGAGGACTAGTGAGCCCCAAGCCAGGGAGTGATTCTGGTTTATTAAGGGGGGGGGGGATAAATGGCAATTGAGACCTAAGATGATATAAAAAAAATAGCCTTATCAGACGAATGTCATCTTAATATGGTGGATGATTTTATTATGGTGCAGCGTTCTCAGTGGGGAATTTATCAAATCTGGAGCAAACAAAAACTGGAGCAGATGTACATGGCAACCAATCAGCTTCTCTCTTCAGTTTGTTCAGTTAAGATTTGAAAATGAAAGAGAGAAGCTGATTGGTTACCATGCGCAGCTGCTCCAGGTTTTGTCTCCTCCAGTTTTGATAATTTCCCTTCTCAATCCATTGATTGTGCATAAATAAAATAATATAAATAAACCTCTTATGATTTGTGTGAATAAATATTAAAATCATGTGCTGCAGGTATAAATAATTACCTCATTACAAACTGTAGATTAATACCAATCATAATAGTGCAAAAGTGCAAATCGTGCAATATATGTTTACATATAAAAATACACATACATATAAGTGTAAAAATTATAAATTCATGAATTCTTACTCCAATAAATAAGTGAAAAAATCTCTTATGGAGAATTAATTCATAAAAGTCCAAAAACTTGTATCATCTCCAATGTGATTAATGATGGATAGTGAAAGTTAATGTTATTATATCCAACGTGTGTAGAGACAAAGTCCCAAAAAGTGCTGCTTGATGATCTTCCCCACACGCCAACACCCCCTTAGGAGTGCACACTCACCGCAATCTTAATGTATATTGACAATAGTAAGCTCACTGATAGACCACGAAATCCTCGCATCTACTTTATAGGCTCTCCCAATTGCCAAACGGTGACTGTTAATATATCCCCGGGTGAGTGCAGAAGCAAAAACAGGAAGGACTTTGGCATGTGAGGCCCACCGCGGACGCCTGTGGCTCTTGGTCAATTGGTCTTTTTGCAACCTCTGGAAGGGATAGTCAGGTTTTGGCAAGTGCCTTAAAGGGGAAGGCACAATTTTTCCTGTATTGCACTGGGAACAGGTGAGACATGAGGCACAATTATTGGGCAGTCAAAAGGCCAAACCCGGGGCAATCCAATATCTGTCCACTAGCATTGCCATTATATTCCTAAGGTCCCCACACACCTTGCGATAATCGCGGGAAATCCTGCGATCGTACGATTATCGCAAGGTGTGTGGAAGCCGTGCGACCTCTACTACTGTAATGTCGCACGACTTTAAACTTATGAACATGTTCGAAAATCCGCCGAGCATCGTACGATGTTCGGCGTGTGTGTAGCATGTTCGTAAGAGAAAAGCCGGACGGGCCGGTGTGCGCAAGCGCACACTGCCTGTTCGGCATTGCGGTCATCGGAAGCCCGCCCCTCAGGGGGCGTGGCTTGCGATCATCGCAAGTACGATCTGCCTATGCAAGATAGGCAGATCGTACGTTTTTTTAAAGTACCTTACAACCATCGCAAGACAAAAGTCTTGCGATGGTTGTAAGGTGTGTGCCCAGCCTTAGGCAGTTGTCCTTTACCATGTGTTAATTGAGCCAGGTGTATTTACTATAGAACATTTTTTTGCTTGGTCAGCAGGATGACCCGTGATGATGATGAGCGTCAGAGTTTTGTAACCCTTAGCAAACATGATGGCAGTGCTCAGTAGACCGCTCAGTGGTGTGCAATTGTCGGTGATGGTGCTGTGCACATCATCATTGCTGTTCACGCTGCCCTACTAAACCATTTTAAATATTAACCAAACGTCAGGTTCCCTCGCAGAACATATTTCACTCATCCTACAGCCACTATTTACTTCTAGTTCAGCCCTTTAAATGACGCAGTAGAAGAACAATCTTCATTCCTCTTACCACCCATATCAGCTAGCCCGCAGACAACACAGACAGATGTGTGGGCCAGACAGAAAACAACATTACTACTTAACCTCACAAATCATAGGCCTTATCAGGACTGACAAAGCAGAAGGCAACACATTCTACATGGAAAGGTCAGAGCAGAAATCTGGCCCCCTGTGTAGCAGAGATGTAGAGATAGTCCTCGCCTAGCAGGGTGCTGCCTACCAGAGTAAATGCCATAACCTTGCAAAATACAACAGACAAGGAAGCATAGGCAATGACTGAATGCTGAAGTATAAATCAAAGCTGTAACTTACCATGAGTCTTATTTACAAAGATGTTTTAGATACTGTCCAATCTTCAGCTGGCTGTGCACCAGATGGGTCCAACGGATTCTTCCATCCACGCCAAAGGAGCGTGGATGGATGCATCTTCCACTGTGGCATCTGTTACAACAGTCGGCTTTCACCGGCTTTCAAAATGTTTGGCCCAGCCTCATTATTAGTGGGTGGCCCCACAGGCTTGACAAGTCAAGGATTTAACTATTGTAAAACCGTCAGGGGGTCACCCACTGTAAAGGATTTTGACCAGTGCCTATGAACAGTGTATGGCCAGCTTTGTACGAGATGTACAGATGTGTCTTGCTGCACTCTTTACCGGTTATTTGTTGTGGAGTCCAGGTGGGTGCTCGCAGTGAGCACAGAGGGCACCGTGAAGTATGCAATGATTTTAAAAGATGTCCGCAGCACCCCATTGGTTAAGTGAAATTGGTCCATTTAATGACAGGACAATGCCATCCAACTGCAAGCACGTTTTTGGGGCTGCACAGGGTCCCCTTCATCAGGCTCTAAATGACGAGCCTGATGAAAGGGACCCTGTGCGGCCACGAAAGCGCTTGCATTTAAATGCAATATACAGTGGGGGGAATTTATCAAAACTGGAGCAGACAGAATCCGGAGCAGGGTCCAATGGCAACCAATCAGCATCTCTCTTCAGTTTGTTCAGTTAAGATTTGAAAATGAGACAAAGATGCTGATTGGTTGCAGTGCAAATCTGCTCCAGATTTTGATGAATCCCCCTCAGTATGTTCATGTTTTTTCCTGTGGAAAAGGAAATGGATATTTAAGAAATGTTAGCGCGATGTGATATCATGTGATGGTATGGAAGAGCTAATTTCTTTCTGTTTTTCTTCAAGGTCCGAGTGCCCCCAGTAGTCAAAAGGTAATTTCATCTGCCCCAGCCGATTTCTCTCCACCTTGTAGCCCCAACCCGTCAAAGAAAGGAGGAAGCATTAACTGGTCCCTCCCAGATAAAATTAAATCCCCGCGGACTGTTCGTAAACTTTCGATGAAGATGAAAAAGCTGCCGGAACTCAGCAGAAAGTTGAGTGTCAAAGGGACGTCATCGAGCCACAGTAACGCGTACCATTCGTCTTCCACTTCCAAAGGAAACTGCCAGGATGTAAGCCACGCACCATCTTTGTCGTCCGCGGGGCCGGCAGCCTCTGCCGCCAGTAGGAACGTCATCAGCCGCTACCACCTCGATAGCAGCGTATCTTCCCAGCAGAGCTACAAGAAAAAATGTCCAGGCACTTCCAAATCCTCCAGCAAAGGGGGTTACCTCAGTGATGGAGACTCCCCTGAGCTTATAACCAAATCGGGCAAACATGGTGGGGAGAACAGGTCCACAAAGGGAAAAGAGTCCCTTGCTTGTAATAACACAAAGTCGGACTTCGACATCGATGCCTTCCGGCACTATAGCTTTTCCGATCAACCCAAGTGCTTCCAGTATGTTTCCGGGCTGATGAGCCTTCACTTTTATGGTGCAGAGGATTTAAAGCCTCCGAAGATAGACTCCAAGGATGTGTTTTGTGCAATCCAAGTCGATTCTGTCAACAAAGCCAGAACGGCTCTTCTGACTTGTAGGACGTCATTCCTAGACATGGCTCACACCTTCAACATTGAACTTGAAAATGCGCAGCACTTAAAACTGGTTGTGTTTAGTTGGGACCCAACCCCAAAGAAAAACAGAGTCTGTTGCCATGGCACTGTGGTCCTGCCGGCACTTTTAAGGGTGACCAAAACCCACCAGCTGGCGGTCAAGTTGGAACCTCGAGGTTTGATCTACGTGAAACTGACTCTCATGGAACAGTGGGAAAACTCTGCAAACCGCCTTGGCGTGGACCGTGACCCTGTGCTATTTGGGGTAGATGCTCGCCAGGTTGTCGAAAAGGAGAACACGGGATCGCTGGTCCCGCTTCTCATGGAGAAGTGTATCATGGAGATTGAAAAGAGAGGCTGTCAGGTAAAGAGTTCTTTCATTGGCTTAGTTGGCTCTAATGGAAGGGCTGTTCTTGTCCTTTTGTAACACTATTCACTCATTTCTAACATTGCTAATCACTATCTAATGTGCAGCCAGATTTGGAGAATCTGTTTTACTACTCTGCATGTCAAGAGCACCTGTTGCTTCAGATACCTAGATGACATCTGTGCTATTTTGTTTTTTGCATGTTGGTCTGTTGCAGGGTTAGACAACACCGGCCCTCCAGCTGTTGTGGAACTACAAGCCTTATGAGGCATTGCAAGACTGACAGTTACAGGTAGGGATGCACCGATACTAGTATCGGTATCGGTGGCGATACCAAGTATTTGAGGGAGTATTCGTACTCGCCCAAATGCTCCGATACCTTTCCCGACACTGAAACTTCCGGTCAAAGGGAGATTTCCTCTGACCGGCAGTGCCGCAAGGAAACATGGGCCAGGAAGCTGGCTTCTCAGCCGCTCCATGCAGATCCGGGAGAACTTGGAGAGCGGTGTCTCCCCAGCTGGCCGAGGGACTGGTACGTTAATGAATGCTGCTGAGGGTCTATGTGAGGGGAATGAGGTGCCTGCAGGGTGGGGTCGTGTCACCATATTGTCAGATCTGTTTGGCCGGCCTCGATGCCGATTTGGCTGGGAAACCGGCTTCCCGGCCAATAAGCAAAACAGAATGGAGCCAGCATCCTGGCTCCATGTTTCCTCGTGGCACTGCCGGTCAGAGGAAATCTCCCTCTGACCGGAAGTTTCAGTATCAAGAAAGGTATCGGAACATTTGGGCAAGTATGAGTACTCGCCCGAATACTCTGTATCGCTACCGATACCGGTACTTGTATCAGTGCATCCCTACCTGTAACTGTCAGTCTTGCAATGCCTCATAAGACTTGTAGTTCCACAACAGCTAGAGGATCGGTGGGTAATGACATACCGCCTGGCTTCCTGATTGCCCGGGAAGCTGGCACTATGCTACCGGAATGTATCGGCGAGTACCGAAATATAAATATCAGTACTCGTACTTGATACCAAAAAAATGGTATTGGTGCATCCCTAGTTACAGGCATGACTCTTAAGTGGCAGAGCCATGTTGGAATTTGTATTTAAAGCACAGCTGGAGGGCTGGAGGTGCCCACCCCTGGTCTTTTGGCTTTTCATATTTGTCAACCAAATAAAACACACTTCTGCTGTCACCACAGAGCTAGCCCTGTAAAAGATAAATCTCTATCATTTTCCGGCAGCCCATTTGTTGAAACGCCCCCCACTTCACTTGTCTCCCAGTCGCAGCAGATATTCAACTTGTTGGATGGGTAGAATACCCCCCCATCTCATGCTGTGGTTTCTTCCATTGGCTCCTGTGATCTGTAGTGATATATAAGCCAGCAGGAGAAACCTGTGTGTGGAGGGGAGAGCGGTTATTTTACAAACCCAGAAGATGTGACCGGGAGAAGCGAAGATCTGGCATTTCAGGAAACTTGCTGCTGGAAAGGGAAGTAGGGTCGCATCAAGACTGCTGATTAATGGGCCACGAGACGTACATTACATGTTGGTTTAGTAGTATTGTCAGATGTGTGTAACGTTCAGGAACTTGACAGAACTGCACATTAATGGCTCATTCCGCTACGATCTTCACTTCTGCAGAATCCTTCCAGTTGGCCAGTGCGCCTTCCATGCATGCTGTGTCCTGTGGGCAGTGTACGGGCTTTCCATTGGAATGACTGATGTCTGTGGTGTAAGCACGTTTCTCCATGGATTATCCCTTTTAAAACACCGACCGCATGTACAGAAAAATGCCTGTTTATCTTCCAGAAATCTAGTGAGCTCCTGACTCCCTGCGCCTCTGCTGCACTGAGAGTATTGATGATTGCAGAGCTGCATTCATTTGTCTGTTATATCTGCCCAGTGTTCAGCTTTAGAGTCTATGTAAAACCTAACAATGAAGGTTTTTTTTCTATGTTAGTCTTTTAGATATACCATTGAAACTGTCCTTTTTTTATACAGCTGTTTAATAAGTGTAAAAAAAACCAAACAAAACCTGTTGATCCTGCCAGAAATCCAGTGAGATGATAACTTTGTTGGGAGCTGCCCTGGATTTTGTTGGGCAGCTGTTTGTAAAAAAACAAATATGGGGTTGATAACCCCGCGCCAGACGCTTCCATTTTTCAGGGCGAGGTCTCATGTATCCGAGGACGGAGCGCTAATCAAACAACATCTGTCAGCTCACGGAACAAAGATAATATTTTCATTCTATGTGAATGGTGTAATTATAGACTCCTACATCCCTCCAATGTGCCCGTATAATGGGACTCTTGTTCTGCAGCGTAGGCCGCTGTTCTTCATAATGACCCGTGTACCTGGATTTGTCTGTACATCATAACAGCGAGCGTGCAGTCCGCGTCGTGTTTACTCAACTGGAAATTGATGTCTTGTGATTTAACACCTGCCAGGTGTTCCAGTGAACGCCGCTCTGTCCTTGTACACAAATGTTTGCACATGCTGGTGGCAGATGCCGGCCTTGTGGGGGGGAGGGGGGGAGCGTTACCTGGATACTGGGGGGGTTTCTATTGGGTTCAAAGTCTGTACAAACACCGGTGTCATTTTCTAGCAGATTGGTGTCTGTGTGTCGCCTGGCGATGTGTTTTCTAGAGGATATTAGCTGTTAGGAAAATGTGAGGTCAGCGATGTAGATGGCCAGTGTGTACCTTGCAGGGTTAGGTGGAAACTTTTTTTTTCTCTTTAATAAAATGTATCAGAAATGTGATAGTTTGTTCTTAAAGCGTACGTCCATTTTGCACCCAAATTGGGGTAACACATAATTTATATTTGTACACAATAGCAGGGCCGACTAGCAAGATACAGAAGCTTGGCCCAGTGGGAGATTCCTCCATCCACACAGTTTAGCGTAGATGGAGGGGGTCTGTTGCACTTTTTCCATCTGACCACAGAAGTTCTGCAGAGAATCTATAGGTGTATGGCCAGCTTTATTAAAGGAGAACTATGGGGTCAGTGTTTTCCCCCATAGTTCTTCTTAGGGTAACGGGAGGACACAAACTAGCGTCCTCCCGTTACCCTAAGCTCAGTATACCGCAAGCTACAGCTCGCGGTATACTGAGACGCCGCAGCCGGAGCGGATCCCGACATGGACGTCGGGATCCGCCCAGCTGCGTGAGTGACAGCTGGCTCTGCCTATCTAGAGGCAGAGCCAGCTGTACCCGCCCCCTCCTCCGTCCGTTCCGCCAGTCAGCGCTGGCAGATCGGAGCGGGGAATCCAGCCCCTCCCCCTGTCACGGCAGAGAGCCGTGACCGGATCGAGAGGTGAGTGAACCCGGTTTGTGTTCGCTCACCTCCCGATCCACTGAGCCGACCTGTGACAGACTCATTGTCACAGGTCGGCTAGAACTATGAGGTGAGTGGAAATCACTCATGTCATAGTTCTCCTTTTAAACTGACTGATTTTTCACAGGACTTTCTCTATTTACTCCCAGCAGCAGATGGAGGATGAGTATGTGCTGCTGGGGGACCAGGCATTGAAGGAAACCTGTTGCTTGCTCTGTTGGCCATTTGCAGGACCAAAATCCAAAAACGGTTGGATCAGGTGAAAGCCGGAGCATGTCAACTTAAGTTGGTGATTTTTCTCCTTTCCTCACCTAGATTGGACCGAGTAGCTCCTGAACTCCCCCCGGCTAACAATTTTTACATATGCACAATGCTGCAACTGATGGCCTAAAACAGCCTTTCTCAACCAGGGTGCCTTCTGGCTCCCTAAGGGGCGCCTTTAAAATTTTCAGTGTCCATGCCTCTGATGTGAAAGAGGGGTGCTCTGATGTGAAGGGGGCTTCTGATTTGAAGAGGGGGGACTCGAATGTGAGAAGAGGGGGCTCCTGATGTAAAGGGGAACTCTTAAAGTAGTATTAAGGTCTGGGCGTTTTTTACCTGAATGCGTTCTCTGCATTAGGGTAAAAACCGGCCCAGCACCTTTTTTCTACCCCAGTCCCCCACACTCACCTGTCAGCTACGCCCGTCCCCGTCGTCAGTCCGAAGTGATCCTCTGTTTCCCGAACTTACTGGTTGCGGGGGGAGGATACTGATGGCAGAGGAGCCGTAAGCTCCTTCTGCCATCAATCAAAGAGGGAAGGGCCGTGGCCTGCCACAGGACTGTGTGTGTGTCTATGGACGCACACAGCCACTGCAGAAACGAGCACGCACGGGTGCCTCCACTAGAACAATGGTGGCACCCGTGCAGGGGGTGGGGGGAAAAGCGCTGCGTGAAGCCACTAGAAAACGGGGAAATAGAAACTTCTAAAGAAAAAGAGCGACAGCCTCCAGCAAAGGAGGGTCTACTTAAAGGAGAAAAAAAAAAGGCTTTAATATCACTTTAAGTAAAAGAAGGTACTCTACTCTGTGTTCTTACATGGGGTCCCCCCTTAAAATTCGTACCAGACCCCTATCGGGATAAGGGTCTGTTATAGATTTTGGAGGGGCGCCACATCATTTTTTACATTTTAGACTGGGGTGCCTCAAGATTTTGTTTACTTTTTATAGAGTGCCGTGGCTGATAAAAGGTTGAAAAATGCTGGTCTAAAATGTCATGGATCAATATCGTGATGCGTGAGTTCACAATGCCGTAATGCTGCGCCAGGTTGCATATGATCAGATAATATGCCTTCATCTTCCTTGTTCTCTGTCTTGCACACTAGGTTGTAGGGTTGTACCGGCTCTGTGGATCAGCAGCGGTGAAGAAAGAACTCAGAGAGGCGTTTGAGAGGGATAGTAAAGCCGTGGAGCTCTGTGAGAACGAGTACCCGGACATCAATGTGATAACAGGTAATCGTGTCAGATAGGTTTGTGTATATTGCATGTCATTCACAACCTCCACTCTTTTTTTGCAAATACATTTAAGCATTGTACTTGTTTTGCGTCTGCTATGTATTTCTAAAGAGATAACATTGGGTTTTGTATCTTTGATATCAAATTCATGTGAATAAAAAGTATGTAGAGCGTTGTGTAATTTGTCGGCATTGTATAAAATATGGCGGCAGCATCTTCCTATAGCACGGTAACAGCATGGCATCCCAACTCTGGTCTGATGCTGGGCTTTGCTAGTTTAACCCTTGCCACTTCAATCGATGCTTGGCTTTGTATTGATCAATGTTGGGGTTGTAGCTAGGAAGCTGGCTTTATTCTTGCATCTCTCGGAGAGAGTCCTGGGGGGAAATCTCAGTCAGGGATTCCATTTCCTGTCATACATATAAGACTCAGTTTGGATTTTGCTTAGAAGATAATTCCACCACTGGAGAGCTAACCCAGCTGACCATTTCCTTCACTTACCTGATGTGATCCCGCACTGAAATTTGTGGATCTTTGGCTATTATCAGGGGCTTCCCCGCCATCAGTAGGATGTTTATTTTATTATATGGGTTAACAGACAGCTGGTGATGATCCATCTGTAGCAATAAAAACCTGGAACTTGCCAGGTTGCAGAGCATGCATTGATGGCATGTAAAGTCAATCAAGAAAGCATTTGTAAAACCATTCACGTCAAACTCATGATCACTGTGCTAAAGACTTTGGGAGGTTCTCATATCTATAGTAACCAGTATGGCCTCCTATTAAAGTTGCCACGCTCGTGTAGCGGTGCCTGCTTGCACTACAGTGGGAGGCATACAATGTTTCAGGCGGTGTAGTTTTGAGCATTGTCACTGCCGATTCACAAGCCTGTAGCTGGTCAGTGGGCACCTGGCCATATCTTGTCCTGCCCATGGCTTTCTGGATTGACAGTTCTGCCTCTGTTGCTGAAAAACACTCCCAACTGTGAGCTGCATTGTCTGACAGGGGGAGCATGTGAGACGCAAATGAAGGAGGATTTAATTAAGACAGGGAGTTTTTTTTAACTTTGAGGTATACTTTATATGTAAATTACAGGGAAAAGTACATATTTCATCTCAATTAAAGCAAATTTACAGTTGACTCTTGCCAGTTAAAGGAGAACTATGATGTGAGTGATTTCCACTCACCTCATAGTTCTAGCCGACCTGTGACAATGAGACTGTCACAGGTCGGCTCAGTAGATCGGGAAGTGAGCGAACACATACCGGCGTTCTCTCACCTCTCGATCATGTCACGGCTATCTGCCGTGACAGTGGAGGGGCTGGATTCCCCCCTCCCCGCTCCGATCTGCCAGCGCTGACTGGTGGAACGGACGGGGGAGGGGGCGGGTACAGCTGGCTCTGCCTTTAGATAGGCAGAGCCAGCTGTCAATCACGCACCTGGGCGGATCCCGGCACAATTGTCGGGATCTGCATCAGCTGCGGCGTCTCGATATACCGCGAGCAGCTTCTCGTGGTATACTGAGCCTAGGGTGACGGGAAGTTTTGGATGGCAATATGCCATTAAAATGGATCATTGATTTTCAAAAAATGGTGTGCTGGTGACATTATTTTCCTTTCTAGGGTGACGGGAGGACGCTAGTTTGTGTCCTCCCGTTACCCTAAGGAGAACTATGGGGAAAGACTTAACCCCATAGTTCTACTTTAATTGCTGCTGTAGCATTTTTTCAGGGAGACTTTGATTCTACTTTAAAGTGACATTAAACTCACAAATCCCCCCCCCACTCCATGCTGCTGTAAGGACTTACCATAAATGATGCCTCTCGATTCGATCATCTCCTTCCTTCCACCTGTTTCCAGCAGTCCCTCCAGGGCTGGTGCCGGTCTCTGATCCAGCGCAGACTGCTGTTCCTTCCCACAGAGTCTTTCCGGCGTCCATGCTCACGGCTGCATGTACTGACTCCCGCTGTGTCTTTCCTTTTCTCGCCGCCGGTGATCTCCAATGCGCATGCATCCTCTCTCATCCTCCTGCACAGCCGTTCGGGGAAGCTGGATTTTACACCCGGGATCCGAGTGTTTTTGGGGGGATTACTTTTTTTCATGCATTGCCTGTATTTTTACCTGGCATCAAGCATTGGGTGTGTTTTTATATATCAGCTGTGAATCCACTTACTATAGTACTATAGTACAGCAAGCCAAGTCTAAGTGGTTGATGTATATCAGCTGTACAAGTATAATTCTTCCTACTCTTGGTGAGTGTGTGTGAGAATTAATAAACAGGTCCTCTGCTGGTTATGGGGCTCATAGTTGTCTCATTGCATCATGTCTGCCTTCGTCCATGTGCATTTGATTCCAAGTAAACCATGTCATACACTTAACAGTTCACTGGCTCTGAAAAATGAGGAATTAATGAAGTGGATGGCGCTTTTTGCTTGCTGTCTAAATTTGTTCTGCGTGGAGGAGAATGCGGCAGCCTGGCAGCGAGGGTCCTAGTAGCTTAACGCTAAAAAAAATAACCGGGACCTGGAACAGAGCTAATTTAGCAGCTAGCTTGCTGGAGGATTAACTAAGGGCAAAGGGCATCTCCCAATTCCTACAATATTCCTTTTGTGGAGGGATTAGCAAGGTAAAAGTCAATGGAGGAGGAATTGAGAAGAGGAAGAATGACACTGGGTATTGTTCATCTAGGAAAGTAATTACCACTTTATTTGGCAATGTTTAACTGCATTCCCGGTATGAACAACATGGGGCAACAAATCACGTCACCTGGGGCTTAGCAGCTGCAGAAGGACTAAAGGTCCAAGCATGAACTGCTAACCCCAAAGACTTACAGGTCGCCAGTGTCTAAAATATAAGTAGGAGAGCTGTTCCAGTTAGTTCCAGTTCCCCCTCTCACTGGTAAGTTTAAGGGCCTGTGCAGATGGGCTTTTATTAGTTTCAAGTCTATGAGAAGGCAAAACCTGTATGAAGCAGTTCAAATGCAGGTTAGAAGGAGATCAACTGCAGGTCAAATGAGACTGATTGATGTCATACTGATTTCAAACTGATGCCATTACCACTGGGCCAAAGCCCATCAACGCAGACCATAAGCCCCTTTTACTTGCCTGAATCTGTGGTCATGTGACATGTTAGATTTTGAGCCTTCTCATTTCTAGGTTGGAGTGGGAGGGTCCTACTTCAGGTGTCCGCATCTCTGCGTGGATGATGTGGACACCTACCTTTGGAAGTCCAGCGGTGGGGTCCTCCCAGGCTCAAGAAGACTACAACTGCATAATGATGTCACGATGAGAGGCAAACCTAAAGACCAGTCGGTGGTTGTTCCAGTCTGCAGAACTTCAATCTTGGAAGAGGCAACACGGAGGGTCCATTGTACTTGGGTGTGAAGGGGTAAAACATTTGCCTAAAAATTGTCTTTAATATGTTCTAAAAACCAAGGGTGACAATATCTAGTGGTCTCAGTTTAAATTGAACTTGTATGTTTCCTATTCAAGGCCCACATTAATGCCAGCCCCCACAGCAACTTAGAAATGTCTCCCCTTTAACCCAACCTAATTCAACTGTGCTAGTGAAGAGAATAAGCCCTGTTTTGACTTGGAGATTACACAAGGTTGGGAACATTCTGACCTTAACCCGGGTAACCGCTCTGGGTGTCTCAACGTCCATTTGCCAAGCATCAGCTAGGTCACATGCTTCTCCAGGAATTACCAGATATGTTTCTTCCCTTCCAGAGGCCAAATGGAATAGTGTGGGAGTAAAGGCATAACATGTATTTGCAACTAGGGTGGGGTGGAACTGCAGTCGAGTATTACTCAGAGACTCTAGTAATCTTTGGGCCATTACAAGGGTGTCCCACTCTGCTTAATGGACTTTGCATTTTATACTATGGAGAATTGAAGCTTGGGAACATCCATTTGTGGCAGAAATGGCACTCCGAGGGGACTAGGAACACAGCCAAGACCTATGGCCAGTGATTTTGCTTTTTGGATCCCTCAAGGAATTATAAAAAGTAATCGGGTGATGGAACTCGCCTGTATACCAATTTTCCCCATTCCACTGCCATTTTAAAAATAGGAGAAAATGCCTATCGCCTAGATTAGGGTTCCCTGGGGTTCTTCCGCCCTCAAATCTCCTTGACTCCATCTCGTTGTAGGGCAGAATCAATGATTACCTGCCTTTTGCCTGGGCAGCCTGTTGGCGCCTTTGCCTCACACAGATTCGTGAAGGATTCTAAGGGACCCTACCATGAGATAGGTCCAGCAGCCTTTTCTTTAAATGGCAAAATCATAACGAAGCTGCAAAGTCAGTCATTTCTTGACTTTCTTTATGATAGGCGTACCTTAAAGCTTGATGGTAACATTCCTTTACATTGAATTGGTTCTCAGACTCCATCTCCCTTTTTGTTGGCTTCTTTTTCCTAATCCTCTCCTCCTTCCTTAGTTAGCCAGCCCTTTTCCATGTTCATTCACAAAGGAGAGTTCAGAGGAAAACACAATACTCCCTAGCTGCTGTTCTACTGCAGTTCTTAGCAAGTTTACCTTCTCCTGTCGGAGACGCTGTGCTCGTTATTGTACGCGTGTCGGTGGTGTCACTGCATTAGAACACAAGTCATTGAACACTCCCTTCCAGGAACCCCAATTAGGCCAACTTTTCAGGCTTCGATTGTGCATTTGTTCTTGCCTACATTGAAAGTATCATCCTGAGAAGGAGAATTCTTCCTGCGAAGACTCTCTTTTGTGGTGATGGCTCACAATTTGCTCCAGAGACCACATTGACTTTCAGTAACAAGCCTTCCTTTGTTTTAGAGCAAACACAGATGGTATTTCTGTCATGCTTTTGGGGATTAGCCGTTCTAGCTTGGCAATCGTACCTCCAGCTAACGAAATAGAGGCTTTTGATAGATTGACTTCCTGTTTGTAATTTTATTTCTTGGCAGCTAACACACTTTTCTTCTAGCAATAAGAGTGACAATGCAGCTGCCGAGTAGAGTGTTGTCTGCTA